CACACTCGTGGTATGTGGTCTTTGAATAGGTGAACTGATCTGTTTAAGCTGATTAGGACACATGGTGTGGATGTAAATTCTGCATTATGTTCCCATTGTGAGGCAGTGGATTGTAGATCTTGTATGTTTGCGGTCATTTTTCAATCATTTATTAGAGACTAGCAATGATTTGTATGGTTTTTTTTTTTGTTTTTTTTTCTGGATGAGTCTGCTTGAAAATTGTCTCCAATATAAGAAAATTGGATTGTAAGAAAAAATTGTAACATGGGTGCAGCCAGCCTATTCTTTGTATTACAGGGTCTCTGAAGTGAGATTGTGTTCCAGGAGAAAAAAGGGCACAATTATTAGTGAAACTAAGCAGGCATTTACTTGCTATCACTTGAAGGCCTACAGTTGTGACCAAAATTATTCAACCCCCACTGAAATTGAGTGTTTTGGCCAGTTTGACATTGCTTTTGATCATTCAGTCATCTTGCTTACATTTACATTAAAGAGGCACTTGTAGGTCAGACAAATATAACATAACAGTTATAATGAAATAACCACAAATGTCTTTTCTGTGCTCACAGCATTATCAGTTTTATTCAACCCCCAAGTGACATTCAATCTTAGTACTTAGTACAGCATCCTTTTACAGTTATAACAGCTTTTAAACGTGAAGCATAGCTTGACACAAGTGTCTTGCAGCGATCTACGGGTATCTTCGCCCATTCTTCATGGGCAAAGGCCTCCAGTTCAGTCACATTCTTAGGCTTGCGCACTGCAACTGCTTTCTTTAAGTCCCACCAGAGGTTCTCAATCGGATTTAAGTCTGGTGACTGCGATGGCCACTCCAAAATGTTCCAGCCTTTCCTCTGCAACCATGCTCTAGTGGACTTGGAGGTATGCTTGGGATCATTGTCCTGTTGAAAGGTCCAACGTCTCCCAAGCCTCAGGTGTGTGACGGACTGCATCACGTTTCCATCCAATATCTCCTGGTACTGAAGAGAATTCATGGTACCTTGCACACGCTGAAGCTTCCCTGTACCTGCAGAAGCAAAACAGCCCCAAAGCATGATTGACCCTCCACCATGCTTCACAGTAGGCAAGGTGTTCTTTTCATCATAGGCCTTGTTCTTCCTCCTCCAAACATAGCGTTGATCCATGGGCCCAAACAGTTCTAATTTTGTTTCATCAGTCCACAGAACACTATCCCACAACTTTTGTGGTTTGTCCACATGGCTTTTGGCATACTGCAGTCGACTCTTCTTATTCTTTGGAGACAGCAAGGGGGTACGCCTGGGAGTTCTGGCACGGAGGCCTTCATTACGCAGTGTGCGTCTTATTGTCTGGGCTGAAACTTCTGTACCCACATCTGACAAATCTTTTCTCAGTTCCTCAGCAGTCACACGGGGACTTCTCTCCACTCTCTACGCTTCAGGTAGCGCACAGCAGTCGAAGTCAGCATCTTCTTTCTGCCACGACCAGGTAGCGTTTCAACAGTGCCCTTTGCCTTGAATTTGCGAATGATGCTTCCTAAGGTGTCTCTTGGTATGTTTAACATCTTTGCAATCTTCTTATAGCCATTGCCCTTCCTGTGAAGAGAAATCACCTCTTCTCTTGTCTTCCTGGACCATTCTCTTGCCTTCACCATGTTTGTAACCACACCAGTAAATGTCTAGAAGGAGCTGAGTATCACAGTCATTTTAAAGCTGCCTAATTGGTGCTTATTATGCTTGATTGCTGCTCGGTGACATCCACAGGTGTTTTCAATACCTGATGGAAAGCACCTGTATGAACCTCTGTTCTTCAGAGTGGTAGTCTTTAAGGGGTTGAATAATTGTGGCAATGAAGAAACCACATAAGAACCATTTACTACTGTATTACATAAACAATTGATGTCATTTTAGTTGCATTTGGGTAGTTACAACGTCCTTGTAGGATTTGATTCTGAATACAATTCCAAATGTACACTATAGTCCCTAAACCCCTTTACAGCATTGGGGGTTGAATAATTTTGGTCACAACTGTATATGATAGACTTTCCAGCTTGGAATAAATTGAAGATACAAACATTGGGTTTACCTGACATTTTCTATCATGATCTAATATGACTGAAAACAAATCGGTCAGTTCTTCTATTGTCTAGCCCCGTCTTTCTCAACATTTTCAACACGAGGACCCCCTGAAATAAGTTTTTGATCTTGGGGAACCCCTGCTAAAAATATATCCACAACTCATGATACATTAAAGTGATGGTTAGTGGGAAGAATGTTCCTTACATTTGTGGTCATTGGGAAGAGTTACCTCCTTACAGATGGCTACAAAGATCAATGGTGTCAGTGGGAACTTATCTGAGAGGTAGAAATTGCTCAAGGAGCCCCTAGCAACCTCTGGAGGAACCCTAGTGTTCCATGGAAACCTGGTTGAGAAACACTGGTCTAACCGGTCTTCAACAGATGGCAGTTGGAAGCTGATTGGTTGCTGTGGACAACAAAACCAGAAACTAGTTTTAGCAGGAATTCTTTATATAAAAAAGCAGTACTGCCTGTGTTCCTCCCTGCAGCTGATCTGTTTCCCAATGACTAACTTGCCATGCCTTGTTTGACTTTGTCTGTAAGATGGAGTCCATCTTGGTAGACGCAGGGGTTTGCCCCCTCATGCCAGAGCCAACCCACCCTTTTCTTCCCCGAAGTTCCCTCCCATGGCTGGTTATTCAATAATTAGTGGGGAAGTTTTCAAGAATCAAGTATAAATTGCATGTATCCATATGAATAAAGCAGGGAGACCCTTGCATTTCATATCCTCAGATACATGTTCCTCTCCAGTGAGCAACACAGCACTGCCATCACTAAATCTGGTGACACTAGCAGTGAGAGGCAGCAGTGCCTTGGATGATCTCACACAGCAAATATACAGATATGCACATGGGTGTCTAGGCATAGGAAATTCCCTACTTTTTTAAGGGGGAATTCAAGAGAGAGAAAATTTTTACAGCACTGTCCAGTCACAATGAACATTTCTAGATGCTCCTATAACATGGCAAACCTTCACTTTTTGAGTTCAGGCCCACTCTAACTTGTATGTGTTCCTGCTCAGCCTCACAAATGACATCATCTGCTGTGTATGACCTGTTTTTTGGAGGATTTGAGAAAAGAAGTCAGTTATGTCACACGAATGTCCCACTAACCAGCCAGGGCCTTCTCCATCTTTAACTTTGTTAGTTCTGTCCTTAGGGACCATTTATAAAACTAGAGTGTGAAAAGCCTCGTAATTGACTAGAGCAGCTCTATTCTGTCCTCACGTTCTTCTATGTATGGTGGAAAATCAAGAGCAAGTTTGGTTTCCATGAGCAGGAACATTGGTTATTCCTCCAGTCTCCAGGCAAACATCTAAGCAGCTACACATAGCAAACCAGCTAGAGGGGAATATTCAACGTGGGCACTCAAAATGGAAATGTGTGTGTGTGTGTATATATGTATATGTATGTGTGTATGTATATATATATATATATATATATATATGTATATATATATATAATATATATATATATATATATATATATATATATAACATTTGTGAGTGTTCAAGTATAAAACTAGAAGGGGACTCCTTTTATGGGCAAAACAGGTTTGATTTAATTCCTCCCTCCCCAGCACCACATAGTGGCAGCTGCTGGAAGTGCAAGGAAAGCCCTATTGTACTTACTTACACCGGACCAGGGGCGGACTGACCATTTGGAAACTTGGGCACTGCCTGAGGGCCCGGGGCCAGTAGGGGGCCCCATGAGATGCCCCTGGTACCTTTTTCATAGGCTTTTTTGAGTTTGGGCAAGGACACAGGGGCCCCATGATCCCCTATTGCCCAGGGGCCCCATGAGTTGTCAGTCCGCCCCTGCATCGGACTATTAACTCTCCTGTAAGAACACTGATTGGCCCAGTACTGTCACATGTTCCTCCATAGCTGGAAGTACTTGGTACATAATAAGGCTCCTGGTACTGAACGCAGCAGTGGGGGGAGTACAGAAAGGTGAATATGGGGGGTTTATAGCAAACTTGTTACTCCCTGAGTGGTAAAGCACAAGTATTAATTGTACATAAATAATTAAAAAGATGAGACTGCTATTGTTAACACCTTCCTGCTCAGCCCCGGTGTCCCTTTTAATAGGGTCTGTAAAACCAGGGGCAGGAAGGGTCGGTGATCATGTGAACCCTGTGATTGGCTGTCACCATGGCCACATGATCATAAGCCCGTGTCACCAGCTACTGATGTTGGTGGGGGATGAGAGCTGTCTTTGAAAGCTTGCTCTCCGTTGCTTGGAGCACACTGTGAAAACGCTTTCAGCACAGAAATCTTGGCCACCCAGTGATGCATGTGTGGGCGTTAAAGCGCACCCTATTGCTACTGCACATATCTTTGATGTTGTGGGTAACAGGTTAAACCTTTTCTTGAACATCCTCATTGTCTGGCTGCTTTGCTGATCCTTCAGACCTGTGAGTTGGTGACACCAGCTCTATCTAATTTGAAGTATAAAAGATTGGGCTTTAGATACATTGAATTCACCAGCAATCAGTAAATCTGGTGCTATGGTTGTATGTTAATGCTTTCATAAGCAGGGCTTAGTTTATTTTTGGAAGCTTGCAAGAGCACCTGGGGGAACACACGAACAAAGCGAGGACATGCATACTCCATGTTGATGGAGACCTGGCTGGGTCCCATTCAGAAGCAGAGCACTACTTGGCAGTAAGGCTGTCCATACACTATACAATTTTCTGTCCAATTTCTACCCAAATTCCTTTAGATTTACCTTCAACTATGTAGTACAAGAGCCCGCCTAATTGGATACAACTGAAAGTGTTGTTAGGTTTGACCTCCTATTATATGGTTTTTGGTCAATCTAAACCAAAAATCTCAAGACAATTGTATAATGTATGGCCAGCCTTAGGCTAATCTTCATGCCACCATGTAATCCTTGTGCCATCTTGGACCTCTGTCTTGACAAGCATCTTTTATCGTTTCAGGTCCTTTCACAGATGTCGTTACAACAAACCTGAAACTCATGAACCCTACAGATAAAAATGTCTGCTTCAAAGTGAAGACCACCGCTCCTCGTAGGTACTGTGTGAGGCCTAACAGTGGGGTCATTGAAGCCGGCTCCTCCATCAATGTGTCTGGTAAGTGCTCTGCCAGCAGCTCCCATTTCATACCCTGCCCTTCAGCCCTTCACTTGGCTTTTATTTGTCATGCAGGCTTAGTTACAAACTGTTGTTTTCCTACTGTCGATGATCAAAGAAAATAATCTTTTTTTTTTTTTTTTTTTATCATATCCCTTGAGGCAGGTAGTCTGTTATGAGGATTACAGGAATGTTGGAAATCCGTGTCCTCATTTCAGACATCTCTCTGTTACAGCATGGAGAGAATATCCTTAGCAGGTCCAAGGTTTTCCATTAGAACCTGCAATTACAATACTAGCTTGCCACCTGATGGTGAAATCTGGTATTGCGTGACCTAGCAAAAGATATATTTTTCATGTTGATGCAGAAGTAAGCCACTATGGGACCCACTGTGTGTGGGTGGAGGCTGCCATCTTGGTAGAGAACAGGGTTTTGCTCCCTCATATCAGAGCTTCCTCCCCTCACTGACTACTGATCGGATATATATTGGGGACATTTTGCACCATTTTTGCTCTTCAGGATTTGGTGACATTAATAGAGGGAGCAGTTTGTTGTGGAAAAGGATGATACGTACAAGACATGGATTCACCACGTGTCTTGTGATGTGAAATTTTTCCGGTTGAGAAGATCTGCTGAGCTCAGCAGCGGCACTCAAGGACAGCAACTTATTATGTGTTTCCATTTCGCTTAGCAAAGGAGCCATATTGGTTTCTTGTATCTCTCATACACACTGTTAGGTTGATATTCCCTGTGTACTGAGCTGGTGACAAGCATGCAGATAGTCCAAAGCACGTAAAGGGTTACAGAAAGCACAGCTTCAAACTGAATCAATCACAGCCTCTGCAGGCAAAGACAAATGGAAATGGAACCCGCAGATGGCTGCTTAAGGCGTAATTGCTACACCTACCCAAATCCAAGACATCAGCGGTTTCCAGGAACAGTCTGGCCGGTGGGCAAAACTGCAGTCAGCAAGAATAGATGGTGACATGGTTCAGCACAGTGCTGGTGTGACACCTACTCACCTTTCCAGCATTAGTGGCTTCAATATCACACCGAACAAAAGAAACACAAGAAACAGTGAAAAAGAAAACCAGTCTGTGTGTGTGTGTGTGTGTGTGTATATACAGTCATGGCCGAAATTGTTGGCACCCTTGATATTTCTCCAGGAAATCATGTATTTCTCACGAAACGTATTGCATTAACACATGTTTTGCTATACACATGTTTATTCCCTTTGTGTGTATTGGGACAAAACAAAAAAAGGGAGGAAAGAAAGCAAATTCGACATAATGTCACACAAACCTCCAAAAATGGGCTGGACAAAAGTATTGGCACCCTTTCACAACTGCGGATAAATAAGAATGTTACAAGCATGTGATGCTCCTGTAAACTCACCTGGGGCAAGTAACAGGTGTGGGCAATATAGAAATCACACCTGAAAGCAGATAAAATGGAGAGACGTTCACTTAACCTTTGCATTGTGTGTCTGTCTGTGCCACACTAAGCATGGACAACAGAAAGAGGAGACGAGAACTGTCTGAGGACCTGAGAACCAAAATTGTGGCAAAATATCAACAATCTCAAGGTTACAAGTCCATCTCCAGAGAACTAGATTTGCCTTTGTCCACAGTGCGCAACATTATCAAGAAGTTTGCAACCCATGGCACTGTAGCTAATCTCCCTGGTCGTGGACGGATGAGGAAAATTGATGAAAGATTGCAACGCAGAATAGTCCGGATGGTGGATAAGCAGCCCCAAACATGTTCCAAAGACATTCAAGCTGTCCTGCAGGCTCAGGGAGCATCAGTGTCAGCGCGAACAATCCGTCGACATTTAAATGAAATGAAACGCTATGGCAGGAGACCCAGGAGGACCCCACTGCTGACACAGAGACATAAAAAAGCAAGACTACAGTTTGCCAAAATGTACTTGAGTAAGCCAAAAGCCTTCTGGGAAAACGTCTTGTGGACAGATGAGACCAAGATAGAGCTTTTCGGTAAAGCACATCATTCTACTGTTTACCGAAAACGGAATGAGGCCTACAAAGAACAAAACACAGTACCTACGGTAAAATATGGTGGAGGTTCAATGATGTTTTGGGGTTGTTTTGCTGCCTCTGGCACTGGGTGCCTTGACTGTGTGCAAGGCATCATGAAATCTGAGGATTACCAAAGGATTTTGGGTCGCACTGTAGGGCCCAGTGTCAGAAAGCTGGGTTTGCGTCCAAGATCCTGGGTCTTCCAGCAGGACAATGACCCCAAACATACGTCAAAAAGCACTCAGAAATGGATGGCAAAGAAGCGCTGGAGAGTTCTGAAGTGGCCAGCAATGAGCCCAGATCTAAATCCCATTGAACACCTGTGGAGAGATCTTAAAATTGCTGTTGGGAAAAGGTGTCCTTCCAATAAGAGAGACCTGGAGCTGTTTGCAAAGGAAGAGTGGTCCAAAATTCCGGGTGAGAGGTGTCAGAAGCTTATTGATGGTTATAGGAAGCGACTGATTTCAGTTATGTTTTCCAAAGGGTGTGCAACCAAATATTAAGTTAAGGGTGCCAATACTTTTGTCCAGCCCATTTTTGGGGTTTTGTGTGACATTATGTCATATTTGCTTTTCTGCCTCTGTTTTATATTTGTTCCAATACATACAAAGGGAATAAACATGTGTATAGCAAAACATGTGTTAATGCAATACCTTTTTTGTGTGAAATACTTGATTTTCAGGAAAAATATCAAGGGTGCCAACAATTTCGGCCATGACTGTATATGTGTCTACATACAGTTGCAAGAAAAAGTATGTGAACCCCTTGGGATTACGTGGAGTTTTGCATGAATTGGGCATAAAATGTGCTCTGAACGTCATCTAAGTCACAACAATAGAAGAACACAGTCTGCTGAACATAATACTACACAAACATTAGATGTTGCCATGGTTTAATTGCACATAACAAGTAAACATTCACAGTGAAGGGAGGAAAAAGTATGTGAACCTTTGGACTTAATAAACTGGTTGACCCTCCTTTGGCAGCAATAACCTCAACCAAACGTTTCCTGTAGTTGCAGATCAGACCTGCACAACGATCTGGAGTCATTTTGGTCCACTCCTCTTCACAAAACGGTTTCAGTGTAGCAATATTCTTGGGATGTCTGGTGTGAATCGCTCTCTTAAGGTCATGCCACAGCATTTCAATGGGGTTGAGGTCAGGACTCTGACTGGGCCACTCCAGAAGGCGTATTCTGTGCTGTTGCAGCCATTGTTTTGTTGAATTACTTGTATGCTTTGAGTCATTGTCCTGTTGCATCACCCATCCTCTGCGGAGCTTCAGTTGGCGGACAGATGGTCGTACGTTTTCCTGCAAAATGTCTTGATAAACTCTGGAATTCATTTTCCCATCAATGACAACAATCCGTCCAGGCCCTGAGGCAGCAAAGCAGCCCCAAACCATGATGCTCCCTTCGCCATGTTTCACAGTGAGGATGAGGTTTTGATGTTGATGTGCTGTGCCTTTTTTTTCTCCACACATAGTGTTGTGTGTTCTTCCCAAACAACTCAATCTTGGTTTCATCTGTCCACAGTATATTTTGCCAGTAGTGCTGTGGAACATCCAGGTGCTCTTTTGCAAACTTCAAATGTGCTGCAATCTTCTTTTTGGACAGCAATGGCTTCCTCCGTGGTGTCCTCCCATGTACTCCATTCTTGTTTAATGTTTTCCTTATTGTAGATGTGTCAACAAAAATGTTAGCATGTGCCAGAGATTTCTGTAGGTCTTTAGCTGACACTCTGGGATTCTTCTTTACCTCATGCAGCATTCTGCGCTGTGCTCTTGCAGTCATTTTTACAGGACGACACGCCTAGGGAGAGTAGCAACAGTGCAAAACTTTCTCCATTTGTAGACAGTCTGTCTTACCGTGGACACATGAACATCAAGGCTTTTGGAGATACTTTTTCCAGCTTCATGCAAGTCAACAATTCTTGATCGTAGGTCTTCTGAGAGCTCTTTTCTGTGAGGCATGGTTCACATCAGACAGTGCTTCTTGAAACCAGTAAACACGAAACAGGTGTGTGTGTTTTTTAAGGGCAGGACAGCTGTCAGCAACACATCCAATATCATCACACTGATTGGAGTCAAGGTTGGCTCACTCCTGGCTCCAATTAGCTCTGGGAGAAGTCATTAAGCTAGGGCCTCACATACTTTTTCCTCCCTGCACTGTGAATGTTTACATGTTATGTGCAATTAAACCATGGCAACATCTAATGTTTGTGTAGTATTATGTTCAGCAGACTGTGTTCTTCTATTGTTGTGACTTAGATGATGTTCAGAGCACATTTTATGCTCAATTCATGCAAAACTCCACGTAATCCCAAGGGGTTCACATACTTTTTCTTGCAACTGTATATGTATGATAGATATGTGCAGATGGATAGATATCTTCTCTTTCTATTGTTTTCAAATTTCTCCTTCCCTCTCTCTTTGTCGCGCTCTCTCCCTCCCTCTCTCTCTGTCGCGCTCTCCCTCCCTCCCTCTCTCTCTGTCGCGCTCTCTCCCTCCCTCTCTCTCTGTCGCGCTCTCTCCCTCCTTCTCTCTGTCACGCTCTCTCCCTCCCTCTCTCTCTCTGTCGCGCTCTCTCCCTCCCTCTCTCTCTCTGTTGCGCTCCCTCCCTCTCTCTCTCTGTTGCGCTCCCTCCCTCTCTCTCTCTGTCGCACTCTCTCCCTCCCTCTCTCTGTCTGTCGCTCTCTACCTCTCTCTCCCTCTCTCTCTCTCTGTCGCGCTCTCTCCCTCCCTCTCTCTCTCTGTCGCGCTCTCTCCCTCCCTCTCTCTCTGTCGCGCTCTCTCTCCCTCCCTCTCTCTCTGTCGCGCTCTCTTCCTCCCCTCTCTCTCTCTGTCGCTCTCTCTCCCTCCCTCCCTCTCTCTCTCTGTCGCGCTCTCTCCCTCCCTCTCTCTCTCTCTCTGTCGCGCTCTCTCCCTCCCCCTCTCTCTCTCTCTGTCGCGCTCTCTCTCCCTCCCCCTCTCTCTCTCTCTGTCGCGCTCTCTCCCTCCCTCTCTCTCTCTGTCGCGCTCTCTCCCTCCCTCTCTCTCTCTCTGTCGCGCTCTCTCCCTCCCTCTCTCTCTCTGTCTGCGCTCTCTCCCTCCCTCTCTCTCTCTGTCGCGCTCTCTCTCCCCCTCCTCTCTCTCTCTGTCGCGCTCTCTCCCTCCCTCCTCTCTCTCTGTCGCGCTCTCTCCCTCCCTCTCTCTCTCTGTCGCGCTCTCTCCCTCCCTCTCTCTCTGTCGCGCTCTCTCTCTCTGCCGCGCTCTCTCCCTCCCTCTCTCTCTCTGTCGCGCTCTCTCCCTCTCCTCTCTCTCTCTGTCGCGCTCTCTCTCTCTCTCTCTCTCTCTCTGTCGCGCTCTCTCTCCCTCCCTCTCTCTCTCTGTCGCGCTCTCTCCCTCCCTCTCTCTCTCTGTCGCGCTCTCTCCCTCCCTCTCTCTCTCTGTCGCGCTCTCTCCCTCCCTCTCTCTCTCTCTCTCTGTCGCGCTCTCTCCCTCCCTCTCTCTCTCTCTCTCTGTCGCGCTCTCTCCCCTCCCTCTCTCTCTCTCTCTGTCGCGCTCTCTCTCCCCTCCTCTCTCTCTCGGTCGCGCTCTCTCCCCTCCCTCTCTCTCTCTCTCTCGGTCGCGCTCTCTCCCCTCCCTCTCTCTCTCTCTCTCTGTCGCGCTCTCTCCCTCCCTCTCTCTCTCTCTCTGTCGCGCTCTCTCCCCTCCCTCTCTCTCTCTCTCTGTCGCGCTCTCCCCTCCCTCTCTCTCTCGGTCGCGCTCTCTCCCCTCTCTCTCGCTCTCTCTCGGTCCCTCTCTCTCCCCTCCCTCTCTCTCTCGGTCGCGCTCTCTCCCCCTCCTCTCTCTCTCTCGGTCGCGCTCTCTCCCCCTCCCTCTCTCTCTGTCGCGCTCTCTCCCCCTCCCTCTCTCTCTGTCGCGCTCTCTCCCCCTCCCTCTCTCTCTGTCGCGCTCTCTCCCCCTCCCTCTCTCTTTGTCGCGCTCTCTCCCTTTCTCTATGAAGATTATGGTGTGGGGTTGTTTTCTCAGGGGTTGGGCTTGGCCCCCTAGTTCCAGTAAAGGGAACTCCTAAGGCTTCAGCATACCAAGACATTGTGGACAATTTCATGCTCCCTTCCTGTTCCAACATGACTGCACACCAGTGCACAAAGTAATGTCCATAAAGACCTGGATGAGTGAGTTTGGGGTGGAGCAACTTGACTGGCCTGCAACCCGATAGAACTCCTCGCTGAGACTGCGAGCCAGGCCTTCTCGTCTGAGATCAGTTCCTGACCTCACAAATACGCTTCTGGAAGAATGTTTAAACATTCCCATAGACATACTACTAAACCTTGTGGACGGCCTTCTCAGAAGAGTTGAAGCTGTTATAGCTGCAAAGGGCGGGCCAACTCAATATTGAAGTGAATCACTAGACTGGCCAAACACAGTTACAGATCCTTGGCAGACAAACATTTCATGTATATGCATCCACAAACAACAATATTGCACTTACATGTATAAGGTGCTGCACCGCACCAAGGCATACAGCCCATAAGAGTAGATGTCACAATGCTTGTGAATACCGCTATGCACTCTCAGACCACTTGCTGTGTTCCGTATGGACGTAGTGACGTCATCCAAGCCCCGCCCCAGCGTGTTTTGTCACAGGGCACATGACTTCTTCAGGGGGGAATGATTGGTCCAGTATTTATATAGGCTAACCAGGCACCATTTTCCCGTAGCCTATATAAATGCCCATTTGTCCACCATTTTGTTATAAACTAAATCTTTGATATCTACACAGAGGTGTAATATCGAGTTGTAGTCCTATTTTGGAGTACTGATGCTATTTTGTTTGGACTTTTTATTTTTCTGGTAAAGATGTGGACACTTATCCACTAATACGAAGATTTATTGGGGTGTATGCATATAAGCATTTTAGGAATATTTTTTCATTATCACAGTGTGTTTTTATGGAATTCACTAGTTTTGGGATGGAGCATGACATATGTATGTGACTAGTGCAGCACTATTTTTGATTTTTACTGGAGGATGCTATTGGGAGAGAAACAGTCCTTCACATAGGGCGTGCCCTCTAGTACAGTGGTTCCCAACCTTTTTGAGACCAAGGTCCGGTAAATTCTTCCAAAACCTACCATGCCCCAACACTGAAGAATAAAGTTTATACTCACACAGTAAAAGTATTGGTATGCAAAAAATGGAGGGACTGTTGTCACTATGGGGATATGAAGGTTTTGGATTGGATTAGGGGACTCTTCAGTAGACTTGGTGGCCCTGTAGGAGAACTATTGGAGGTATGGAGCACTATAGAGGGCTGGAGGCTCTGAAGCCGGCTGGGTGCCACTGTAGGGAGTAGAGGAGCACTGTGAAGGCTGAGGGCTCCCAGAGGGTCTGGGGGGGGGGGGGGCACTGTGAGTGGTTGAGAAGCACTCTGAGGGGTGAGGGCTTTCATGAGGCTTGTGGGCCACTATGAGATTTTGAGGGTCACTGTGGGAAGTTAAGGGATCCACCGCTGGCTGGAGACCTGGAAGAGGGCAAGCCATGGCTAGGCTGTTAAGAACCACTACTTTAATAGAAAAGAGACCTCTTTAGCAGGATATAAATGGCAAGTGTTGGTAAGACACTGCAATCTCCATTATATAAAGTACAGCATCCCTTTTAGTTTCCCAAGAAAAGCCAATATGTTTTGTGATTTCCTCAGCTCTTCATTGGAAAACAATATCCCAATCTTTAATTGGAGCAGAATTCTTTAAAAGGACCATGTAGAACATTCTGGAGATGTGTAAGATTTGCTGATGGTAGCCACGGTGTAATATACTGACAGCTAGGAGAAATCTTGGATATGAAGGTTTATTTATGGTAGTAAGTATTGTGACCTCTTGCCTAACTCCTAAACAAGTCAGCAGCTTCCTGTACCCCTGAGACATGCTTGGTGATTCCACTGTTAGAGGAAGTAACTGTGTATAATGTCAGTGACTGCTTCGCTGTCGATGACCTCTCGCCTTCATAACTCACTCGCAATGTGATGTCTTAGATGTGTGTTGAGAAACCTTCATTGCATGCTCCTCTGAAATAACACACCAATGCGGCCTTGGCCATTTAACCAAATGACTTGCCTCCAAAGGTTTCATGCATTTGTGTAGTACAGACAGTTCTTCTTTTGAATCCCGTAGGCCTCATTTCATACTTCATACGAAATACATGTCTCACCTCATTGTAGTCTTTTCAAAGCTCCTGTCTGTACTGATCTGTTCTTTTCAAAACATTTATGTATTCTTCTTTCTCTTTTTTTCAGTTATGCTCCAGCCTTTTGACTATGACCCCAACGAGAAGAGCAAGCATAAGTTCATGGTGCAGTCCATCTATGCTCCATCAGACATTTCCGATATGGAAGCCGTAGTAAGTATGGTACATTGTATGGAATACTCCTCTCCTGCTATTACTCCTGGGGTTAAAGACGTTCTAATAGTCTGCACAAACTATGCACTATCTAACCTGGACAAACACATTGCAGTCACATTGTACAATATGATATGTAATGCCAGGGCCATCCTGCTTAGATTAGTAGGCCTTTCTTGCATTCTGCAAATGTTCTGTTCTTGGGGACCGCATTGGAAATTAGGTGAAATCTCCCCACCATTCATTCTCCCCTATTCTTTCCAAAACGTTAGTTGGACTTGGGCCAAGATATTAAATGAATGGGTTGCATTAGAAATTAAGTGTCTGTGTTAACCAATGTTTTTCCTTAAAGTATAACCCATGTGCCTATTTGACCTGAATACACATGAAATGATTTTCTAGCTAATTCTGACCAGTCATGTGACTCCCACACTTCTTGGGTACTATATGGCCAGTTAGGTGACATTAACCACTTCCTGTCCGGCCCATGTACATAAACGGTGGACAGGAGCAGTGCAGGAGCGGGTGGCTGTTTATAAACATCCTCTGCATTTCCTGCCTGTGCATGATTCCTGGGAGCATGCGGCACCACGATCCGGTGCCCACTGTGTCCAGAGGACACAGTGGAACACCGATCGCTGTACGGGGACTTCTGTGTGAGGTCCCGATCATGTGATCACTGATTGGCCAATCATTGATCACATGAATAGTAGTAAGCAAGATGTCACTTTCTGACATTGCTTACTACTAGTGAAATCTAGTAGGTCACATGGTACAAGGCTATTCACAACAGCCTTGTACCATGGGACAAGCTGTGACCAATCACAGCTCTCACAGCATTTCTCAATGACTGCAAGAATGCAGCCAGAGAGAAGGAGAAATGTATTGCTTTTACAGCCTCTATGGGTTGTGGGAACTCGCTTCAGAGTGGTAGAGCTTTTTTAAAGCACAGCAACTCGCTTCTTCTTAAGGGCCTTTTTGCCCAATTTTATTTAAAAGAAAGTTCAAATAACAAAAAATGCTTCCCACACAGGGGTATCCACCATCAAGCAAATGATATTCAGCCTTCTGGCTTGTACACCAATTACCGTCTGTCTCCTGCAGATTCTATCCAAAAATGGCTTTCCCGCACACAGCTAGCCAATCGCACACAGTCTTGTCTGGCTTCCACCTCTACTAGGTGAAGCCCACCTGACTCCACAGCAGAGACCTCCTGTCTGCCAGGGTGGAGCCCTCCTGACTCCGTCTGCCGGGGTGGAGCCCTCCTGACTCCGTCTGCCGGGGTGGAGCCCTCCTGACTCCGTCTGCCGGGGTGGAGCCCTCCTGACTCCGTCTGCCGGGGTGGAGCCCTCCTGACTCCGTCTGCCGGGGTGGAGCCCTCCTGACTCCGTCTGCCGGGGTGGAGCCCTCCTGACTCCGTCTGCCGGGGTGGAGCCCTCCTGACTCCGTCTGCCGGGGTGGAGCCCTCCTGACTCCGTCTGCCGGGGTGGAGCCCTCCTGACTCCGTCTGCCGGGGTGGAGCCCTCCTGACTCCGTCTGCCGGGGTGGAGCCCTCCTGACTCCGTCTGCCGGGGTGGAGCCCTCCTGACTCCGTCTGCCGGGGTGGAGCCCTCCTGACTCCGTCTGCCGGGGTGGAGCCCTCCTGACTCCGTCTGCCGGGGTGGAGCCCTCCTGACTCCGTCTGCCGGGGTGGAGCCCTCCTGACTCCGTCTGCCGGGGTGGAGCCCTCCTGACTCCGTCTGCCGGGGTGGAGCCCTCCTGACTCCGTCTGCCGGGGTGGAGCCCTCCTGACTCCGTCTGCCGGGGTGGAGCCCTCCTGACTCCGTCTGCCGGGGTGGAGCCCTCCTGACTCCGTCTGCCGGGGTGGAGCCCTCCTGACTCCGTCTGCCGGGGTGGAGCCCTCCTGACTCCGTCTGCCGGGGTGGAGCCCTCCTGACTCCGTCTGCCGGGGTGGAGCCCTCCTGACTCCGTCTGCCGGGGTGGAGCCCTCCTGACTCCGTCTGCCGGGGTGGAGCCCTCCTGACTCCGTCTGCCGGGGTGGAGCCCTCCTGACTCCGTCTGCCGGGGTGGAGCCCTCCTGACTCCGTCTGCCGGGGTGGAGCCCTCCTGACTCCGTCTGCCGGGGTGGAGCCCTCCTGACTCCGTCTGCCGGGGTGGAGCCCTCCTGACTCCCCTCTGCCGGGGTGGAGCCCTCCTGACTCCGTCTGCCGGGGTGGAGCCCTCCTGACTCCGTCTGCCGGGGTGGAGCCCTCCTGACTCCGTCTGCCGGGGTGGAGCCCTCCTGACTCCGTCTGCCGGGGTGGAGCCCTCCTGACTCCGTCTGCCGGGGTGGAGCCCTCCTGACTCCGTCTGCCGGGGTGGAGCCCTCCTGACTCCGTCTGCCGGGGGGTGGAGCCCTCCTGACTCCGTCTGCCGGGGTGGAGCCCTCCTGACTCCGTCTGCCGGGGTGGAGCCTCCTGACTCCGTCTGCCGGGGTGGAGCCCTCCTGACTCCGTCTGCCGGGGTGGAGCCCTCCTGACTCCGTCTGCCGGGGTGGAGCCCTCCTGACTCCGTCTGCCGGGGTGGAGCCCTCCTGACTCCGTCTGCCGGGGTGGAGCCCTCCTGACTCCGTCTGCCGGGGTGGAGCCCTCCTGACTCCGCCTGCCGGGGTGGAGCCCTCCTGACTCCGCCTGCCGGGGTGGAGCCCTCCTGACTCCGCCTGCCGGGGTGGAGCCCTCCTGACTCCGCCTGCCGGGGTGGAGCCCTCCTGACTCCGCCTGCCGGGGTGGAGCCCTCCTGACTCCGCCTGCCGGGGTGGAGCCCTCCTGACTCCGCCTGCCTCCTGGGGTGCCGGGGTGGAGCCCTCCTGACTCCTATCTGCCGGGGTGGAGCCCTCCTGACTCCTATCTGCCGGGGGTGGAGCCCTCCTGACTCCTATCTGCCGGGGTGGAGCTCAGAATCATGGCCTGGCCTCCACAAAAAGGCCTGCACACACCTCTGCAATCAGCGCACTGGCTGCTCCCAAAATATGGGCCCAGGATTGGAGATTTCACCCCTCCCAAATCTCTTAGAAATCTCCAGGCTACAGGTCCCAAAACAGGCTTTACAAACCAAAGAGGAAACTGATAAACCAGTTTCCTCTGCATTATGAGATCTGCCTGGAGCCCCTCAACCTGTATGGTTGAGAATCCTGGGTCTCCATCGTGATTTCCAACGTGGCAGGATACCGTACTGCCACAGGGTGTAAATAAAAAAAAAAAATCTTCATCACCCCCCACAAGTAGTACAGTGTCACTATGGTGACACTGTACTGCTAGGGTGACAGTATGTAAAAAAAAAACCATAAGAATATAAAAATGTAAAAAAACATTTTTGAAAAATTATAGTTTTTGGTTATAAACTAATGTGGGTTATTATATATATATTTTTTTTTTACTAAAAAGATAGCGGAATACATTTTGACCAACATTTATGAAGAAAGATTTATTGCAAAATTTTATAAGAAAAACACTTTTTTATTTTCAAAATGTTTGGACTTTCATCTATATAGCAAAAAAAATCCCAGTGGTGAATAAATACCACCAAAATAAAGTTTTATCAGTCTCAAAAAAAATGCTAAAAAATTCATATGGGTACAGAGTTGCATGACCGCGCAATTGTCATTCAAAGTGTGATAGCGCTGACAGCTGAAAATTGGCCTGGACTGGAAAGGGGGATAAAAGTGTCCGGACTTAAAGTGGTTAATGTTTCCTGGTGCAGATGTTTCTTGCTGGATATGGCTGACAATGCAGATTCAATGTCCGTTTGTGCAGGCTGAAGGTGAAGAAGTGACACAGGACTGTGTAAAGCTTTAACAGGAAATAGTATTGTTACCTACCTGACGGCAGCCTGGCAGACGTGTGAATCACTAGACTGGCCAAACACAGTTACAGATCCTTGGCAGACAAACATTTCATGTATATGCATTTCAGCCATGTGTTACCTGTTTTGCCTGGAATTCTGATTCGAAGAGGATGTAGGTTCAAAGATTCATTCTACTTTACATTAACATTGTTGAAGATCCCAGTGTGTGTATGAGGCATAAAGGATGCTTCTCTCCAGGACTCTACTGTTTCCTATGGTGTTGGGCCAAGCAAGTGCATGCATTTCAGGATTGAACAAGCTGCAGTGCTGGGTTTGTCCTTTGCTGGCAGAGTGCAGAACTAGAACGTGGGGGTGCGGAGACCCCTTCTTTATTGAAGGTAGAAGACTGCCCCTATTACAAATTTCATTGCTTCTAAGTTGTCATTTTTAATCTTCTTAGTGGAAAGAAGCAAAGCCAGAAGACCTCATGGACTCCAAACTCCGGTGTCTCTTCGAGCTACCCTCTGAGAATGAAAAACCTGTGAGTATCTTTGCATTCCCGCATTTCATTTCTCTGTTCCTATTTACAATGTGTGTCTTTTTTTTATGCCCCAGGCTAATAGTCTGGGATCTGATTGAGGCAGTTATTTATTATTATTATTATACAGGATTTATATAGCGCCAACAGTTTGCTCAGCGCTTTACAATATATCATTTATGGATTGTACTGCTGTTATTGAAAGTAGTCTTTATTAAGGTGGAGCTTGTGATCTCTTCGAGGTATCCACTTTAAAGTGGAGCTCCACCAAAAGGGGAAGTTCTGCTTTAAGTACTGCTCCCCATTAAGGATTGGCACCTTTAGGGGGCGGGGGGGGAGTGGGTACCCGAATTTGACAGGTACCCGCTCCCACGTCCGGTCCGATCGCCGCGGAAGGTGTCCTCCTCGCTGTACTCTTTTGGGACATGTGACAGGTCCCAGAAGATGACGGGGCCATTCACAAAGTGCCGCACTACTCGCACGTGCGCAGTGGGTACCCCGCTGTGAAGCCGCAAGCTGTCACAGCCAGGTGCCCACATTGAAGATGCCGGCGTCCTGGAATACAGGACAACCGGTGAAACGGGCTTCGGGGTAACACCAAGGGACAAGTAAGTGGCTGTTTTTTAAAAGTCAGCAGCTACAGTTTTTGTAGTTGCTGACTTTTATTTTTTGACAGGGTGAGTGGAACTCCGCTTTAAGTCATCATGACAGGCCTGTTAGTCATGTTGGATAAAGTGAAACGTCAGCCAAATTGTTTTCTAATTTTTGACTGAGCAGAGAAGGGTTATTACCTTATGATGTCAACATTATAGAGCCTTTTCCACGCTTGCTGTTCTATGGAGAAGACAAAAAAATTAGTGGAAATTCCCTCTTAGGCCACAGTCACACTTGAGCAATTTGTAGCTCAAAGCTCCAGTACGCTTGAGGAGAAAAAAATCAATTTTCAATAGAGATTGTTCACATCTGCACTCCAAGTTGCCTGAAGCTGAGCATCTGAAGCTCAAACAAGTTCTGGAGCTTTTTTTGCTGCTCAAATCGGGCAGATTTGTTTGTTTTTGAGTGTTTATAATTCTGTAGAAATGGGTGGGAATGCGCAGGGGCAGACTGACAACTCATGGGGCCCCCGGGCAATAGGGGATCATGGGGCCCCTGTGTCCTTGCCCAAACTCAAAAAAGCCTATGAAAAAGGTACCAGGGGCATCTCATGAAGCCCCCCACTGACCCCAGGCCCTCGGGCAGTGCTAGAGCTTCCAAATGGTCAGTCCGCCCCTGGGAATGCGTGATTTGTTTGTACTCGTGTGCTTTGTTGTGTGTTTTTCTGCTCGAATGAAAAAAAATTTACAAAAAAAAAATAGTAATAATATAAAAGTAAATAAATGTTAAAATAAATACACAAATAAAAATAATCGGAAATAAATGAAATTTATTAATATGTAATACTAAATAATATCCCCTTCTTAACCCCCAACTCTTACAAAATCGTGTGTGTATATATATATATATATATATATATATATATATATATATGTGTGTGTAAAATAAATTGTGAATAATAATAATGATAGTAATAAACACGCAAACCTTAACAACAAAAAAAATTAATAATGTTTATTTTGCGTAAGGATGTTTTATTATTTATTTTTTTTTAAAAAAATGTAATGGTAAGGGGTTAATTATTATTCATTCATTTATTTTTTTTTTTTATTATGATTATATATTATTCACTTATTTTATTTATTTTTATTTGTGTATTTTATTTATTTTTATTTGTGTATTTTATTTATTTATTATTATTATTATTAACACCCTAACCCTAACAAAAAATTAAGGCAACAAATTAAATATTAACCCCTAAACCAATTCCTAACCCCAAATCCTAACTTTAACCCTAACCCCTTACCCTAACAAAAAAAGATAATAAATGAATAATAATAATAAAAAAGAGAAATAAAAGCTGATGGAAGAGCTGAAAAACCTATCAATAAATCATATAACAGATGTTTTCTCTATTTATTTTTTTTGGCTAATACAAAAATGCCAAAGCTCAAAAACGCCTGAAAACCGCTGTATGAAAACTCGCAAAAAATTGCACGACCAACCCCCGTGAAAAATGCTACGCTCAAGTGTTAATCCAAGCGGTGAAACAGATGTCCCTGTTGATGATTTCCCCTCACCTCTTGTTCCTGTGATAGCTGCAAAATGTTAGCTTCCCTCCACTTACTGTTTTAGTTACTGTGATCACCAGTGCACACGGCTCTCCAGCGGAGACACAGACATGATTCAGGCCTATTAGGATCCGTAAAGTGAAATGTCAGCCAAATTGTTTTCTAGTTCTTGACTGGGCAGAGAAGAGTTATTACTAGGGATACATTGTGACGGTGCTGACCAATCAGATGCCGCCTTTCCCGAACTGTCATTGTTACAAGGAGAACAAAGAAAGTGTCAGAGATTTCAAATCCCCGCCACTTTCTCTCCTCCTACCACTGAAACTCAGCATGGGATGCCTGCAGGGAGGTTTCCCAAGTGTGAAGTCGGGCTATGACAAGCCTGGGTGTACACAGGAAACCGCATGTGATTTGGACAGGAATCACATACCTGTTCAAATTGCATGCTATTCTTTGCGGTGCTATCTGAGCCCATTAACACAAATCGCACCGCAGAGTGTTTGTAATCTGTATCGACGAGTACTTAACTGAAAGTATTGGTACTCGCACTCGCCAATACAAAAAAAAAAAAAAAATTGATATCGGTGCATCCCTAGTTATTACCTTTTGTTGTCTATGTCAACGATATACTGCCTTCTCCTCACCTGCTTTCCATGGAGAAGACAAAAAGTGAGTGGAAATTCCCTATTGGTGGAACAGGTGTCCTTGACGAAGATTTCCCCTCAACTTTTATTCCTGTGATAGCTGCAAAGCTGAAAATTTTTAGCTTGACTTCACTTTCTGTTTTAGTCACAAGTGCACACAGCTCTCCAGAGAGCAAAAAATCATAGCCTCTGTTCATATCCTCAGCATTGTATTCCTTATTTACTGGCTAAATGGTTAGCACTTCCCCCTGGCAGTACTAAGGTCGTTGGTTCTAATCCCAACCATGGCACCACCTGCCTGGAGTTTGCATGTTCTCCCTGTGCCTGCGGGTACTTCAGTTTCCTCCCACACTCCAAAGACATGCTGGTAGGTTAATTGGATCCTGTCTAAATTGGCCCTAGTATGTGTATGTATGAATGCACTTCCGCCTGGCAGTACTAGGGTCGTTGGTTTGAATCCCAGTCACGGCACCTCCTGCCTGGAGTTTGCATGTTCTCCCTGTGCTTGCGTGGGTTTCCTCTGGGTACTCTGGTTTCCTCCCACACTCCAAAGACATGCTGGTAGGTGAATTGGATCCTGTCTAAATTGGCCCTAGTATGTGTATGTATGAATGCACTTCCGCCTGGCAGTACTAGGGTCATTGGTTTGAATCCCAGTCACGGCACCTCCTGCCTGGAGTTTGCATGTTCTCCCTATGCCTGCGTGGGTTTCCTCTGGGTACTCGGTTTCCTCCCACACTCCAAAGACATGCTGGTAGGTGAATTGGCCCCTGTCTAAATTGGCCCTAGTATGTGTATGTATGGATGGGAGCTATAGACCTTAGCTTGTAAACCCCCCCCCCCCCCCCCCAATGTCCAATACTGGGAAAGTGGAGTGGCAGCACAGTGGCTAAATGGTTATCACTCCTGCCTGGCACTACTAGGGTTGTTGGTTCAAATCCCAACCACGGCACCAACTGCCTGGAGTTTGCATGTTCTCTCTGTGCCTGTGTGGGTTTCATCCGAGTACTCCGCTTTCCTCTCACACTCCAAAGACATGCTGGTAGGTAATTGGCTCATGTCTAAATTGGCCCTAGTATGTATATGTATGAATGTGAGTTAGGAACCTTAGATTGTACGCCCCTTGAGGGTTAGGGACTGATGTGAATGTACAATATATATATGTAAAGTGCTGCGTAAATTGACGGCACTATATAAGTACCTGAAATAAATAATTATTTTTCACCTTTTCTCAGTCCATGCAGCTAGTTCATTTTGTCTTTGTCTTGTATTTCAGCATGAAGGGGAAATAAACAAGACTATATCTAGCAGTGTAACAAAGACAGAATCCACTACCATGTTCAAATCCTTTAGCTCCAGTTTGGATGACTCCGAGTATAAGAAGGTGTTAGACGATAACAAAAGGCTGCAGACCGAAATCCAGAGGCTACGGGAGGAGAGCAAACCGTTTAAGGTAAGATATTTCCCATCGCTCTATGTGAGGCCTGGATGGCTAAGGGGGTCCTATAGGAATGCAGTCTGTAAATGTGGACAGAATATGAGCATGTCTGGGTTTAATGGTTAGTTTGCCATCCATAACACCGAGAAGGAACATTCAAAACCAAGAAAAACCTGAAACTGGTAAATAGTATTTCACTTTTTAGTCTGTTGATTAACCTTTAAAGTGAAAGGAACACCCGACTCCCCGGTAGCTTCTACTTGCCGTACTTCCTTTTGCTCCCCTGCCACTCAGTTTAGCCACCTAGACCAAAGGAAAGCCTCGTGTAAGCTTTGAGTTGCCAATTGAACTCGCAGAAATAGATCATCGGTCAGGTAGATGTACTGACAACTAGAATTATGTCACTCGAAATACCATTCACCTTCTTATACATAAATCACCAGTGCCAAAATTAGACAAATAAACAAATAAATGCTGCTGCTCATCAGTGCAAACCCACACCAAAAAATATTTTAACCAAAAACAGCGCAGAAAAAATATCTAAAAAATTATTATATCAATCCAAAGTATTATAATAAAATGAAATATATATATGAAATTATAAGTCCCCTTCTGTTGCAGCTGTTCATTGTTTAAATATTAAAGTCCAGTCCGCCAGGACAGCGTCTGACCACACTACCCTAAGTACTCTGTAATGTGACAGACCCCCTCTTATTCTTAGCATTACGGCTGTGATAGGGCTTTGGCCTTGGCTCATCAGTGCCATCATAGAGCATTGGAGTAGGATAGCAAGAAGTGCATTCCTACTAAGAGAAAAAGGTATAAGGTATACCCAAAAGAATAAATCTATGAACATATACAAATGGAGAGGACTGTAAAGGGAACAAAAATATAATTCTTCAATTGGGAATTATAGTGTATCAGTAGCCAGGACTTTTTCTGTATTGAGCATGAAAAAGTTAGAACCCTTCTGAGATTTTTTCACTTTTTTTTGTTCACAACTGGGGAGATTCATTCTCTCTGTTTGTCAGTGGGGATACTTGTTTCCGTGACACCTTAGAGGGAGATTTTCATCTATTTCTGTTCTGGGACAGGAAATTAAAATGATTCCAAAGGTTGTTTCTTTTTTTTTTTTTTTTGTCAAATAACAAGCATGTCATACTTACCTGCTTTGTGCAGTGGTTTTGCACAGAGCAGCCTGGATACTCCTTGGGTCCCCCGCAGCCTCTCCTGGCCCCTCCCTCCTGTCGGGTGACCCCACAGCAAGCAGCTTGCTATGGGACACCCACTGCTTCATGTGTCCATTCACACGCGGAGCTGCGGCTTGCCCCCCCCGCAGGCTCTCCTGGCCCCCTCCTGTCGGGTGCCCCCACAGCAAGCAGCTTGCTATGGGGCACCCACTGCTCCATGTGTCCATTCACACGCAGCAAGAGCTGTGGCTTGCACCCCCCCCCCCTAAACCATTGGCTGACTGGCTATGATTGACAGCAGCATGAGCCAATGGCTCCTGCTTGCTGTCTCAGCCAACTACGGAGGCAGAGACCTGGGACAGCCGAGGCTGTCGTGCACATTGATGGATCTCAATGGGGCTCAGGTAAGTATTGGGGGGGGGGGGGGGGGAGCTGCTGCACACAGAAGGTTTTTTACCTTCATGCATAGAATGCGTGAAGGTAAAAAACCTTGAGCCTTTACAACCACTTTAAAGGATATGTTTTTAGGGTAGCATCAACCAGCATCTGCACCCTTCATCCCTGATCCCTCCCTGCCTCAGACATCAGGTAGGAGATCCTTTCTCCACACCCGCTGCCAGAATTTAAAGGATAAGTTCACCTTTTGTAACATGTTACATCCATATTCAGGACCGACTTCCTGCTGATCACTGGTGAAATGCTTTACAGGCTCTCAAAACAAAGAAATAGTAGATGCACTTTTTACTCTAAAAAAAAAATGTGCTTTTATTATTTTTTGTTAAAAGGTGAACGTATTGTTTAAAAACAACATGGCCGAGTGGGTCTCAGCCCACATGGCTGCATCATTCAGTCACAGCTTCCTGTGAATGAATGCCTATAAGTCCCATTGCGCTGGTTATCACTGTTGAAGTTCATTGATTCTTCCTGCTCTCAGGTAACTGTCTGCCCATATGAAGTACAGGCAGACAGTTATTCTAAAAGTCTGCAGGAGCCTGAGATTACTCTTCAGGCTGCTTAGAAAAAAAATAATAGGTGAACTATTAATTTGGGTATACTTTTATAGGCTGTGATTCCCATCTTTGTCCACTAGGTGGTACAGTAACCCCTCTCTTTTCTTTCTTTTGGCAGGAGGAAGAAGGACCAAGGATGAGAAAGAGCCCGATCTCCAGTAACCCCGGCTCTACATCCTCTAGCCTTGTAAAAGAGGAAGGCCTAAATAACCGGATACTCGCTATAATCGTTGTGTTCTTCATCATTGGCGTCATTGTAGGGAAAGTGGTCTTGTAGACGGAGCATGCTTTAACGAGAGCGAAAGAAAACAAAAAAATTAAAAAAAAAAAATCATACTGTTGATGGTTTAGCAAGAAAATTAAATTTATTCATAACGAGAAAAAAACAAAAACCGTACCACACTTCACAGGTCCTGCCTTTTACGTTCGTTCCCGCTAACTTTTTTTTTCGCTTCTAGGGTCCGATCAGTTGTACAGAACAATTCATTAGCAAGACCATGATCGATTCTGTAACGTCACGACTAATTCTTCAAAAACGTCGTACTGTAAAATGTCATTTTAAAGAAGAAAAAAAAAAAAAACACTTTTAAAGTTCCGGATAAGTGTTTCTGGTTTACCTCTTTTAAGAAAACAAAAAGTCCTGAAAAAATGTCCATCTCTCCTGAAAGATATCTCTAGGTGGTGCCATTGCATCTCCAGTGTTCAGTAGTTGGGGTTGGGGGGAGTGGGGGTGGGGGTGATTCACTTTCTTAAATATATACATATATACATATATAAATAAAATAAATCTTTCTTGCTGCTCATGATTAATGAAACCCATGTGCCAGCGTTCCTGAGTTGTCCAGCCCATCTTACGCCTGCTCGGATTTGCACAAAGCCCGTCGTGTTTCTGTTTTTTTTTTTTTTTTTTTTTTCTGGTAGGGTAGGCCATCCAGTTCAGGAACCTTTGTGGGCATTGCAATTGCCAAGGTTGTGTAGTACAGAGCTGTGTTGCTTTGGTTGCATGCAGTCCTCCTTGGCTGTACTTACTGATAGATGAAGGCTGTGTTGTACAGTGATCGCCTCTTGTATCTGATACTGTCTCTTAATATTGAACGTGGGGTGCTACAGAATTGTATCTGAAAAGGGACCAAGTGGTAGACTCAAGAATAGTTGTTTCTAAGCTGTCTGAACATGTATAAATGCTAGTCCATCCAAAAAAAAAATGTTGAGATTGGGCCAATGTTAGTGTGTAATATCCTATGGCCTTTTTTTTTTTTTTTTTTCTTGCAGTGTTTGAGATCCTGGCTGTTTCCCTTTCCTCTCATCCTTCAATTCTGTCTGGCTAGGTGAAGTAGAACAAGCAACGATTAACTGCATTAAATATATTCACTACTAAATCTAACCTCCTGCTGGGTTTGCCAGTTCTACCCATGGGGGATCCAGAGCGGGCGAGAGCAGTTGAGTATCTCACGTGGCCTAAAGCATGGTGGGCGCAGCTGGGAACTTAAGCTGAATGTTTACCTAAATTCAATGTAGATGAATTGAACCAGCCAGCGTCTGCCTCTTCGCAAGTGTTTTATTCAGAATATTTCACTGAGATCAAACTCATAATTTAGGCAGTTGATGGGGAGGCCATGCTTCTGTGCGTTTTTCCAGCTGCTGGTGATGGGCGGTTGATAGCGGATGCACACATTATCAGGCAGCCTGACTGCCACGGTGCATTTTGAAGTCACTGAAACGGGCCGGTTATGGAAGAATTTAGGCTTCAATAAGTATTTCTTAAAGCACCAACAGTATACTCTTAGTTGAACCCTAAAATTTCCATCCTTTAACTTGCATCAGTTCTTCACAATAACTGTCCCCTTAAAGGAATTTTTGTAGGTAACTATTAAGGTTAAGAGTTAGTATTATGGCGAGCAGATGTGTGTTTTTTTTTTTTTTTTCTCTCATCAATGCTCGTCCCTCTTTTTGTTTTTGTTTTGTTATTGCATCTCTACATACTCATAGATCATTGGGTCCTCGACTTGTGCCCTGCAAGTATGTGATGTGCCAGATTCAGAAGAGAGAATAGGGACATCTGTATTTTTTGGGGGAAAAAGCAAGGCACATAGGCTAGCCAGTAGTATGTATGCTAGATTGTAATGCTCTTAGGATCAGATTACATGCTGCTTGTTCATTTTGTGTTTGGCTGTACAAGAGAGCATTTGAGCAAAATGCAGTATAATGCTGTTTAAAAAAAAGAAAGAAATCTGTTTCTGCCAGGGTTCTGCTATACCCCTCATTTAAACCTGGCATTTTACTAACATTCAGTGTTGGAAGGAATTTTCGTTATTTCACAACCTCTTTAATTCCACATAAAGCTCCATTGTTAGTCGTTTACCCCACGCTAACTATATCTTTGGACTTTATTGTTTAGGTGACCTTTAGGTGTTGATGTGGATAAACACATATATGTACGTGTGTGGATGTATGACACACACACCTCAATATACACCTTGGATTTCATCGTCTAGATCTGTTGGGGTTTTTTTTTCTTTGTGTGTTCCATATGTGTGTGAAAACTTAAAAAAAAAAAAAAAATATTCAGCTGTCTTGGAAATGATCTCTTGGGTCTTGTTAAACATCAGACTTTACCATTTTATATCTACAGTTTCAAAAAAAAGTTGAAAAAAATTATTGGGAATACAGTTATATAACCAACCCCCCGTTAGGAGTCCCTGCTGTAAATTAAATCTTTCAAAAATATCTCAGATTTTTTTTTTGTGTTTTTCTCTGGTCTGTCTAATTGATCCTGACATGTAGTTTAGCTAACAAAACATAAATGAAACCTTAACACAATGCTGCATGGAAAGTAAACCTGAACTAGCTCTAAAAGCTGGTAACAGTGCTAAAGTGTAGTGTCCATAAGTACCACTGCTACTCTTCTGGAAAGTTTCTGTATTGCTGCAGATATTCCTTGGATCTTGGGTTCAGACTGGACTCGCCCATGCCCAAAGTTAGTCCCTCCCCTTATGCTAAGCCCTGCCTCTGAGGTTTGGGTATTTGGTAGGGAGTGATTAAATCCAACACTCTGTGTACAACTTGATTTGACGATCCACAAGGACCGATCTGAAGACTGCAGGTACTACAAAGTGCTGCGCTTCAGCAATACATTTTAGAAATGTTTTTCGGCCAGGTCAAGTTCAATATCAATGTTATCCTGGCGTGTGATAAGTACAGGCTATTGCGGAGTCCCTTCTGAAAATTGTAAGTGCCTGGCTGCTCTGCTGAGCCGCTGACCTAGAACAAAAAGGTTCTGTCAGTTTACTTCTTCTAGGGCAGTGACTCAAAATAATTCCAGAGGGGTCAGTATAGCAGCCAGGAAACTACCACTTTCAGAGGGGACTGAAAATGGCAGCCAAGCCAATAAAATGTCTCAAACATAATTCTGTGTGCTGTTTGTCAGCGAGCGTGCTTCTGCTCTTCATCCAAGCACCAAACACAAGGTATCGGACACAACACCACATCTTTTGCAGCATTTGCATGATATATTTCAAGTCCACGCAAATGCAAAGTGCAAAGGATGACCTTAGGGATGACCCTGCCTTTTATCACACCCCCATACCAATTTTTGAAATCCGTGCTATGGGTGCTGTAAAGCTTAGGATGTGGTCCTGTATCTACTTTTTGGTGCTTAGAATTATTTGTACGGTATAATTATAGTTACCCTGCTGTAGTTTGCTACTCACCTGTTGACGTTTCTGCAGGATCTTGCTTTGAAGCTCACAGGAGCCACACACTAGCCCTGTAACCTCCCCTGCCTGTCCCTTCTGTGCATGCGTAGAAAAATCTCATTCATTTCAAAAGAAACGCTGTCTGTGGTTTGAGCTGCTTAATAGACTGCCTTTTCTTGGGAATGAATTGGATGTTCTTAACATGCGCAGAAGCAAGGGACTGAGTTTACAGAGGTGGTGTGGATTTTGCAGGAGCTTTGGCGCGTTTGTGTAAAACTTTGGGGGTTCTAGGGGTAAGAAGGCACTTAATGAATATACAAAATTCCCCAGCATTTTCATAATACGCTCAATTCATATAGCATTTGCATAAAGATCTGTATTTCATGGGACTATAGTTTACAAAATTCATTGACTGGAAATTTAAAAAAAAGAGATTCTTTCCTTGTTTGTTATTTTAATTATAATAGGGGCCGTTAATTAGGGACGAGGGGTGGAAACCTTTTGAAGAGTTGCTCGACAGGCCACAAAGTGAAGAATTTTAGGCCCCATGTACACATGGTGTAAAAAAAACACCACTTTTAGAGCCATTTTGTGTTTTTGTGTTTTTTTTTTTTTTATCTGCCTCTAAACACTCCTCTATGTTAGTCTATGTGTCCATGCACACATAGGCATTTAGAAGCAGAAACAAACGAACAGGAGTGGAGTGTTTCCTCATCAAAAACCGCTTGACATTCTTAAACACTCTATAACGCTTGGTGCGTCAAGTGCTTGGGCCTTCAGTCATCCCAATGGCCAGAATAAATTTTATTCTGGCCCGTGGAATGAATCAACACCCAAGCGCTTGACGTGCCGAAACGTGCTTGAAAATGTGGCTTTTCCCCTTTTTCCTCCACTGGAGTTTAGGCATCTAGGGGAGGAGAAAAAGCATCCTGTGTAAATGGGGCCTTAGGTATGGAATTTATATTTAAAATGCTGGTGGAGGGGGACAAGTTAATTGAGAGGAGCATTTTTGTGCAGAGTGCAGCTCCTCTGAACATTATCGTATACTCTGGTCCTGTCCCTGGATTCCTTTGATGACAACCATGATGTTCTCCCACAATATGCTGTCTGTGACACAGAATCAAAGCGACTCCCACGCTGAGATAACATGAAGAATATAGGCCAGACTAATGTGTCTTTATGGTTTTTTTACCTTTCTGTATTAAAGTGAGCCCGTGTTACACCAGTGCAGAGCAATGTAACAGGTGAATACAATCCTGCCAGCTGCACATTATCACCTCTCATGAACTTGGTGTTTATTCATCTTTACAGAAAAAAATGGAAAAGTGAACTAAGGCTGGCCATACACTATACAATTTTCTGCCCAATATCCTTTAGATTTACCTTCAACTGTGTAGCGCAAGGGCCTGCCTAATTGGATACAATTGAAAGTGTTGATAGGTTTGACCTCCTATTATATGGTTTTTGGTAAATCTAAAGCAAAAATCTCAAGAAAATTGTATCATGTGTGGCCAGCCTAACACCGGACACCCTCGTGGTCCACTCAGTTCTTACCTCCAGGGTTGCTGAGTTGTCTGTGCCCCCCAAAGCTGTTTAGGTGGTCCAGGGGTTTCAAATTCCTGCTGTTCTGCAAGCAGCACTTCTGGGACCAAATGGATTCACTGTGAAGGCACTGGCCAATCAGAATTAATCTGGTCCATCCAAGAAGCACTGCACGGAGAAGAGCAGAGATTTTAAATCTCTGAACCGCTGCAGGGTTACAGACAGTGGGGACCAGGGCGGTGGGGATCCAGTGTTTTCACCATTACATTTTTTTTTTTTTCTTAGTAAAGGTGAAATAACCCTTTAAGGATGCTGAGGGCTCTTTGCTATGCTTCCATGTGGCAGTGCTGGGTGCCTGAGCGGCCATTTTTCAGTCACTAGTGCTGTCATGTGAGAGGAAGGGAGTCAGAAGTGGGATAGCGAATGGAAGGTATGTGCTGCTAATGGGCATGTCCTTAATGTACGTGACATCCATTCATGGGCCAAAAACTTGCCTATTTTTTTTTTTTCCAGTGCACCATAGGGCCACACATGCTCCTCATTATATTCATTACTGTGTGTAGGCATTGGAATTCTGTTGCAAATAGCTCATGCATAGCACCATTGCTGTACCACATGATAACAGAAAGCAGACTAAAAAGTTTTAAACTGTAAATTTTGCTCAAAATATATATATATATACAATATAAATAGAAAAATGTATATGAAAGCTTAGAGGAAGCTCTGTCAACTAAAATTAGAAATAGAATATGGTGTATTTTTATTACAAATTCACTTTCCTCTCACATAGCAAAGGATTTGCATAAGTTTAATGTGCATTTGAGACGTGGATGAGTGCAGTTCTCTCCATGGAAGGCTTTCTACAGCTGCTGTCAGTGCTGAGCGTGACCTGGCTGTCATATTGAAAGCTGGTCTAGTTCTGTGTATCTGAAGCCCCAGTTAATCTACAGCTGAGCTAAATCTGGAATTGACAGCCCAGTTCTGCTGATTAGTTGATGCAATCTGTGGTGTCAGGCTGTCAATTTTGACAGCTGATCCAGTTCTGTGTATTAGCAATGGCTGTCCCTCCAGGAACAGCACTGGTTTATGTAAACTAGGCTCTAGGGCAGTGGTTTTCAACCTGTGGGTCGCGACCCCTTTGGGGGTCGAACAACCCCTACACAGGGGTCCCCTAAGACCATCAGAAAACACATTTCCGATGTGTAAAGAGCAGCTACTGTGTAGAAAGCAGCTGCTGTGTTGAAAGCAGCAGTATTGGAGGTAAAATGACACTTATGAATTATGAGTACTGGGTAAATAATTTTATGGTTGGGGGTCACCACAACATGAGGAACTGTATTAAAGGGTCACGGTATTAGGAAGGTTGAGAATCACTGTTCTAGGGCATGTTTCTGGATGTACTGGTCTTCACATCTTGTATTGGTAGAACCTGAAACCTGCAGGGCTGAGCTGTTGGGTTGAGAGCTGAAGCTTGCTTGTGAATCAGGAGCCCCGCAAAGCTCAGCCTGATCACTATGCATTGGGAACATTGACAGCAATGTCTGTTACACCAAGCTGAACCTAGCTGTCAAATAGCCATGCCAGACCGATACTCTGTAGGTCCTCAAAAAAATTGTAAGGACGAGTGCAGCGTGGAACATGTCCTGGTGTTTAGAAATGAGTGCTGTACATGGTAAAGGGTAGATTTGTAGGGACTGCATACCTAGAGAAGTGTATACAGTCCATATGAAATAAAGAGAAACAACAGAATGGGTGTTCTGTGTTTATGTAACAGTACACTGGTCAGGAACAAGTTGAAAATTCCACCTTTACAAAAATTTGCCCCAGCGGCATCCCTTATCCCCCACATTCCAGCTTCCCGCTTCTATTTACCTTGGATCGGCTGGCAACCTTGTTGTCTTTGAGCATGGAGGACTAGAGGCAGCCATATTTGGTTGGGGGGGGCGGACATATTTATGTAAAGGTTGAGTATCCCATTAAAAGGAAAAAAAACTTTACAAACACTAAACATTCCAATTTAGTATTACACAAGTCAATGGGCGGCTGTATGTGAAATGCTTACATAAGTAAAAGGGAAAATGGGATAAATTTTATAAGAAGCTTTTGCAAGAATAAATATTTTACATCATAAGTAAAAATAAAAAACCTTTCTGTGTGACACATTCTCTCTATATAAACCAAACACAGGTCCATTTTTTGAATGCTGTGCAGTGTCCATCTATTGGCGAAATCCCATTGAGCCAGACCAGTCATTCCTTCCAGAAGCAGCACAATACTGGTCTAAAGAGCACCTGTATAGTCATAGGGTGACAGCAGCCATTTGGCACCAAGGCTGTATCTGAAAGAATGCAGCCAATGTTTTGGCTATAATGTCAATCAGGAAAGCAGATTCCACATGTGTTCAGTCCATACAAATGAAGGCTTCCCCAGGAACATTACAGGTCCTCTTCAAGAGTGCGTTCAGTTTCTGAAGCACCATCTGGCTTTGGCATAAGAAAACCTCAGCACCTGGACTTTTTACAAAAAATATATTTTTTCAGCAAGTGCATTAGCTAAATAAAATACTATGTACAGTATCTTGAAAAAATACAAAGGAAAGCTTAAACCTCAACATATTTTTATCTTTCTTAGAGGAAGATGAGTGTCCCAGTTTGTCAAAATTAATCAGTTTTGTCTTAGAATATGTACAACAATAAACGCTGAGAGTAAGGCCCAAGGATGAGGCCTAGGTAAAGCTGCAAGGCTTGGTGCATTGTCTGTAGATAATCTTTGCTTCAGGGGCTCTGTGAGCTCCCCAGAACACTGGATGAGTGGAGGCTGGTATGATGTTGGCCTTTTTTGGGGAGTCGATGGACTGGACCCATCTGTAGGCCTTTCGCCCATGTAAAGAAGGAGACGGCTATGGCTGTCTTGCTCGATTTTAAATAACTCGTATTCAGTGTGGGGGAGGCTGATGCCCAGGGTGGTACAACCTCCGGTGACTGAAATATCTTGCTCCTCTCCTATGGCCCACAAACCGGCCACACCACAGCTCTTGGGTCGAGAAGTGTTCAGCATCTGTAAGATGACCTGGCTTAGTGGTTTAACCCATACTTGGTTCACTGTAAACACCAACTCTGTGCCACCCTTCACACGTTCAGAGCTGATGCCTTTAGTGTAGTAACCAGAAGCACGGAGGGCAAATGTCGGCTGCTTGCAGAGAGGGTCGGCATAATGGTAGTAGAATCCTTCCCAAGTGTAGTTATCCGCATGGAACGTTAGGTAACGAGTGAGGAAGAGTACGTTTGGACGTACTTCGCATTGACTGCTAACCCATTCACCTCGGAGATGGCCTGGAGGTTGTGGAGTGCGAGGCAAGACAGGTGGTTGGTGCTCATTGGCGTTGTATATTATCCCACAAACGTGGCACGGGTGAACGTGGTGCTGCAAATAGGACACAGGTGTAAGTAAACAGAAATCACCTTAAGCATTATTAAGAAATGATGGGTAGGTTGTGCTGTGACCTTAAATGGAACTTTACATATAGCAATTAGATAAAACAAAATGTTCTTCAGTATGGAACATACTTTCCCCATTAATGATTGTTCCTGCTTCTCCTTGCGGAGGCTGCCATTTTGCTGAAGCCCAAAGCCCCTGAGCATCTGAAAAGCTTTAGACTGTCAGCTGATAGGCCTCTACATTTTCAGCACAGTGCCGAAAAAAATAGAGAGAAACTGAGCATGTGCAAAGCAGGGTCAGACAGTGTGTTACTGGATTTTAAACAGTATAGGCAAAAAATGTTAATTTTTTTACATAGCTTTAACTGCAAAAGGGGCCAGCCTGAAGTGATCTAGCAGGACTTAAAGTTGCATTTTAAGCAAGGTTGTAATAATGTGTGATAGGGCCCCTATGTATATGTTAACCTTCACCTTGTAAAACAACTTATTCTGTTTAAAATCGAAATGAAAGGCAAAACATTTGTGTGCATGTGTAATATATAAATATATATATGTACACACACAGTGGATATGAAAAGTATACACACACCTCTTAAAATGTCAGGTTTCTGTGATGTAAAAAAAATGAGACCAAGATTAATCGTTTCAGAACTTTTACCTTTAATGTGACCTTATAAACTGTACAATTCAGTTGAACAAGAAACTAAAATCTTTTAGGTGGAGGGAAGTAAAAATAAAAAAACTACAATAATATGGTTGCATAAGTGTGCACACTCTGGGGATGTAGCTGTGCTCAGAATTAAGCATTTACATTCAAAATCATGTTAAATAGGCGTCAGTACACACCGGCCATCATTTAAAGTGCCTCTGATTAACCTCAAATAAATTTCCTGACATTTTCTTAGTCACATTCTACAGCAAAAGCCATGGTCTGCAGAGAGCTTCCAAAGCAGAGGTATCTCATTGTTAAAAGGTATCAGTCATGAGAAACGTACAAAGATTTGTTTTTCAATTGAGTTATACAGTTTATAGGTCAAATTAAAGGTAGAAAAAGTTTTGAAATTTCTTCGTCTCTTTTTTTCACAGAAACCTGACATTTTAACAGGGCTGTGTAGACTTTATATACACTGCATATACGTATATCTCATTTTAAACACTTCTCCCCCCTTTTTCACAGGACTGAGATTGAGATCTGTAGTACCTTTTGCAGGTCACAGTGCTGCGCAATGTCCTTTTTGGCTCTTTCGGTCAGTTGTTCAATTAAGCTTTGACAAATCAAAAACTGGAACCTGATTGGTTTCTATTTACAGCTACACCAGATTTTGCACTCCAATTTTAGTAAATCAACCTATACCAGGGGTCTGCAACCTTTAAGACATAAAGAGCCACTTGGACCCGTTTCCGAGAGGGAAAAAAAGACTGGGAGCCGCAAAACCATTGCAACATTTAAAACAAATCCGACACTGCATATATTGCAAAAAGCGCTCTGGTCATGAAGGGGGTTTAAGGGCCCAGTAAGCAAAGGGTTAATCAGGGCCACAGTGTATCGTCATAATCACAATCATAGCCTTAGGTCAGTGGTGGGCAACCTTTTTTTTCAACTGAGCCAAATCTCGCCAAAACCACGATTGAAATTTATTTTGAGAGCCACATTTTTAAAACTGAAAATACATCCCCCATATAGTAATTCATCCCCCATATAGTAATTCATCCCCCATAGTAATTCATCCCCCATCCCCCATATAGTAATTCATCCCCCATAGTAATTCATCCCCCATATAGTAATTCACCCCCCCTATAGTAATTCATCCCCCATAGTAATTCATCCCCCCTATAGTATTCATCCCCCCTTTAGTAATTCATCCCCCCTTTAGTAATTCATCCCCCCCTATAGTAATTCATTCCCCCCTGTGTCAATTCACTTACCTTTGCTCCGCGCGGTCCTCTCGCTGTGTTCCCGCGCCGTTCCGGTCTTCAGGGCGGACTGTGAGAGGAGAGGAGTTCGTCACGCTGCCCCGCCTACATCCTGACAGCCAATGTTTGTCCGCCGGGCCGTAGTTTGCCCATTGCTGGGCTAGCTGCAGAGTCCTGACTTTTGGGGCGGCCGCCCGAGAGGATGGAGGGGAGCGGGTGCCCGGCACACAGAAGAGCTGCATTAAAAGAGCCGCGGCTTGCCGACCACTGAGCTACGGCAACCCTATTGCCTGTCACCTGGTGGGCAGTGTGCTCCGGAGCCGCAGCAAAGGTGAAAAAGAGCCGCGGGTTGCCGACACCCGACCTATACTGTATGTGTTTTTAACTATATGTGTTGTACTGCTTCACCCTTTCAGGGGATCAGTCCATGTTTCTCTTTGATATGGTGTAAAGAAACTATGTTTTTATGGAAGCTATGTGCTGCCTCATGGTGTACCCTTAAACTCCAATATTGTAGAGTAACATTTGTGTTTCTCTAATTGGAGATGTGGTTTGGTGTTTATATGGATGTGGTACGGTGGACATCTAATGATATTATTATTTTCCCCTCAATTCTTGTCTTGCTGACATCAAGTGAGGTGACATCTCCTAAACAGGGTGATTGGCTGATCTGTACTACACAAATAATCTATTCCAGTTTTCCTAGATTTATACAGAAATTTATACAGAAAGACACTGAACAAATGCAGCATGTGGAAGGACATTTCCCATCTTGCCCATATTATCTCAATTTCTTAGATGCAGCTGAAATCTTACCGGTTATTTTGAGGAACAAAAGACGTGTTGTACAATAAGAGAGAGCTTTTCTTATTATTTACTTTACAAAATTGAGTCTTACCCTAAAATTAAATGAGCTTAGAAAGAAAACAAATAAGTAAGAAGAACTATACAGAAATCGAAATAGATCTGCACCAGTTTTATAACTCTCCCACTGGGGTTGGCAAATTATATCCCAACTACAAAACCACCTTATTCTTGCTTTGCTATAACATTTTGTAAAATAAATTTACAAATAAAGAAGGCCACCGTGGTCAACTTACCAAAGCACTCTGTAGCGCCTGCTGGTATCCATTTGGCCGGTAGTGTGCCCTTTCCGATCGATCTGTATGAGTGTCTCCCAGAAACAACTTCTCCACCAGTCCTCCGCCCTGTTGTCCATTGTATTGTTTCTCCAATCTCACTAGACTTAACTCGTGCATAGAGAAGCTGACGGCAGCAGTGCAGTCTCTGCCCGCCTTAGCGCTGAGAAGCTCATATACCCTCCCTGGTGCCCATGTCCGCCCTGTGGATACAAAGCCAGAGCAAGTCCTGTTCATCTGAGATCTGATGTCACTCATGGCTTCCTGGCTGTAAAAAACAATCCCCACTTTTTGCAAGTGGTAATCAGCCTCGGTAGCCCCCCTTGTAATCCAGGATGCTTGGCGTAGACGCAGTTTTCCCTTGATCACCAGAGAGTAGGAGGGGTGATGACAGTGGGGGTCTGTGTAGTAGAATTGAAGAGCCTTGAACAAACGACTAGGGTAGAAGGTGTAGGACCTTGTAAGGAATTCTGGGCCTGGTCGCACTTCACATCTGTAGTCAGTAAATAATAAAAAAAGAACAGTAATAACTTCATGTATAACTTGCACCGTCTTTTTTTTTGCTCTGAACTTACATTTTTTATAGACTATATTGCCAAAGGATTGGGTACACTTGACCATCACATCTACAGTATATGAGCTTTACGGACATCCCATTCCAAAACCATGGGCATTCATATAGAATTGCCCTTCTCCCAACCCACTTTCCTTTGCGGCTAAAATAGTCTCCACTCTTCTGGGAAAACGTTTAACAAGATTTTGTATCTGGGAATTTGTACCCATTCAGCCAAAAGATTTGTGTGTGGTCAGACACTAGTCATGGATGAGAGGACCTGGCTCACAACTGGCATTCCAATTCATCCCAAAGGCATTCAGTAGGGTTGAAGTCAGGGCTCTGAGCAGACCACTCAGGTTCCTGCACACCAAACTCCTCAAACCATGTCTTTATGGAGATGGCTTATAGCACAGGGTTACAGCTCTGCTGGAACAGAAAAGGACCTTCACCAAACTATTCTCAAGGTCAATAGGACACCATTGTCTAGGAAGATCTAAGCCTTTCTGTGATTCTCAGTTCACTATAAATCAAGTGTTGGGTTCTGGGTGATCAATATGTTATGTGGCAAGCTGTTTACTGATTCCTTGAAGTAATGCTGCTGTAATGTGTGGGGGAAACATCCTGTTGGTTAGGTTACAGTACTAGGAGCTATTCATTTTCTCACCCTGTGGAGATCCAGTGACCTTCTATGTTAGGAGGCAAGACAGCAGATATACGGGCTCCATCCTGCAGGTGGCGAAGTTGGTATTGGCATTGAGGCTCTCGGTTCAGCTTCCCAGGGGTAAGAAATTGCTCAGGAGGAACTGGAACATCCCAAAGCTTATCTCCGTAGACTAGAGCTGTGAATGAGACAAAGCATATATACTGAATCCATGTAATACCTACCGAGGACCTTGTGATAAACACCACCACAAAGAGAGCCGTTCTTCTTGGCCAGGGCAACCAGATTATAAAATGAATGTTCCCATGCTACACTAGAAACAAAGAATCAAGGCCCTGGCAGGTGGGCATCCGCTGGCTAGATATTTGACTGGCATTCATTATTGGTAATATACCCAAACCATCTCTACATTCCCTTTATAGTATAAGGGAAATACAATAGCAAACTTTTTGAGTTTTAGATGGAGAAGGGAAAACCCCAATCATTTTTTTTCCTTTTGTCACTCATCAAAGAGATTTTCCTTCACTTCCTGTCCCATAGATATAATAAAAAGCAAGCGGAGGTCTCTCCAAAGTGAGGGAAACTCCTATTTAGACAGTTGTCACCAGAGCCCCCACTGGAAGGTTTTTTTTCTCCTCTTTCTGGTGACAATTAATTTGGATCCTTCCTCATTTTCAGTCCCGGTGACAATGGTCATTGAGAGAAAAAAAGGGTGAATCTCCCCAGCAGGGGCACAGCCAGCAATAAAAACCTAACTTTTCGCTGCTCTATCATAAACAAAAAACAAAAGTTTTAATTTTAGATAAACTTTAAATTTCACTGTCAAAATTTCACAGGCTATTAGCTCTGTGAGTTTCTTCCTAATTGTACTGCACTATGGCTATTGTCACTGATACTTCTTTACAATAAATGCATCCTTGCTGACATTTTCCCAGGGACATCTTGCTTTTGATCCAGCACATGTCTGTCCTCTACTTACATGGTACCATCTCATAAACAGCATACCCTATTATATCATGGGAGATATATATATATATATATATATATATATAGATAGATAGATATAAAAATATATATGTATGTGTATATATATATATATATATATATATATATGTTTATGTATGTGTGTGTTTTTCCTTTTTTGCATTTGTTACAAGATTTAATATTTCTATATTAATATATATTTATTATATATTAATATTTATATTAATATAAATATATTAATATTTTTAGGGACAAATCTTTATATTCAAGGACTGTCCCTGGAAATCAGGGACACTGTGCACATCTGATAAATGATATTCATAGAACAGTATGCAGAAGGTCATTGTGGGTTGAATGATTCATGCTTAGTGTCTTTCTGGAACAGTCTTGCTCCCGTGTGATAAGGCAGCATTTTTCTCCTGGAGATTCAGAAAGGATTAGGGTGTCTCCGCATGGTTTAACAGGGTGCCATCCTGTCTCCAAGCCTCCAGACAAGGGTAACAGGCTCATATTGTACAGAACATGACATCACAGGAGCTGTCAAATGGCAGATCTCTGCAGCCATAAAGACATGTCATGTAGTGGTTTACAGCTGCACTTAAAGGGCCATTAAACTTAAAACACAAGTTCACTTCCATAAAAAGCCATCAATAAACACACGCAGACATGCATGTTCCCATGCATTAATAGACACTCAGTTACTTCAAATGATTTTGTCGTGATAATTAGAGCTGAGTGAATCTCATTGTCCTTAAACATTAGCACCTTAAGCCGAAGTTGGCCATACGTTGAACGCATAGGGTGACCATAAATGTCCCAATGCCACTGCTATTCCCACACTCGATACAATCCTTGGGCGAAGATGGGGCAGTTTACGCCTGATGATGAACTCTTCCAACCAGGGGTGGACTGACAACTCATGGGGCCCCTTGGGCAATAGGGGATCATGGGGCCCCTGTGTCCTTGCCCAAACTCAAAAAAGCCTATGAAAAAAGGTACCAGGGGCATCTTATGGGGCCCCCTACTGACCCCGGGCCCTCGGGCAGTGCCTGAGTTTCCAAATGGTCAGTTCACCCCTGCTTCCAACTGTGGGAACCTCTGGTTATTGCTCATGTCAACTTGGCTGATCCTTCTCCCCTCTTCAATGGAAGGAAAATGTTAACTGCACATGTACGTCTTAGGTCTGCGGCAAATTGTTTGGGAAAAAAGTGGTAGGCATTGGTACCACTGATAATGGGAAGACATATCTGTGCCAGCTTCAGATCGATCTTATGGGTAATAATGATTGGACAGGATAGAAAACATATTAGACTTCTGCCCGCCTTCATTTAACATGCATGCTCAAGGTATGTGAGCACGCGTGTGTTTACAAGTGCAGCTGATGCCAAAATGATTGGAGGCTGATGAGGTTGACAACCTCTGACAACCTTCTGTAGCCCTCCAATAATATAATTAGAACAGTTACAAGACCAAACCTCACTTAAATGTTTTCATGCTAAGTGCATACATTGTAAATAACACGTTCGTGTAACATTCCATTTGTTACCTTGCACCAAGATCAAAGTGTTTCCCTGACAATACCTTCATCTGCTTTCCTCTCCATTAGTGCAGCACCGTCTTTGTTCAGGAATCATCCAGGGTCAGCATATACTTCTTGGACTCAGACAGTCATATAAACCCAGGCACCTGTTCATTTTTGGCAGATATCTGACACAGATCAGCCCCTGCTGCAGCCTTTCCCCTTGTGCCTTGCTACTTGCTCTGTTCAGTGGAAGCGAGGAGACTGAGGAAATGCTTCCTCCTATCTGCAGCAGACTGGTGACATATTCTTAGCCTAGGCAAAGGTGCTAGACTAGAGCTCAAAAACTGCTTTTTTGATTATAAAAGGTGGTGCCTTTTGTTCATAGAGGTACTGCAAGGCCTACATCAAAAGTAGGCTTTGTATATAAAAAAAATTTGGTTATATTAGGTTGATGTATTGCTGTACTTAATGTACCCCCCCCCCCTCCTTTTTTAATAAATATTGGCAGTTGTTCTGCAATATTAACTCCTGATTTTAGTCCATATATTTCCAACACAACATTATTATGCTGTGCTCTCTGAAAATATCTGTAATATTTCATTTAACGAAATTCCTAATGTTATCTGCTGTTCTCTGGCAGCAGCTGAAATGTAAAATCAGGCTGAGGCTGGGATTGTCAATACTGTCTGCTCATATGGGAAAGCAAGGGAGGAGACTGTGTCAGGAGGTAGAGCTCAAACTTCATACAGAAATAATTACAGACTCAGAAAATAGGAGTCCTGGTTGCTTTAGTTTGAGGGAGTTTATATAGCATGAAAGAACACTAACAGAACCAAGAAGTGGCTGCACAAATAAAGGACAGTGGACATTCTATGTGCATGAAAAGGTTTTTTTTACTCCTTTTTATGTCTGTTTACAGAATACACGATAGGAGACCCTGACTGTTCATATAATCTGTTTTCATCTGAGTTATTGGTTTTTGGAGTTCAGATTTGGCTGTAAAGGTTCTCCTGTACCTCGGATCAGAGCTCGACATGCTGGGAGACAACTGCTTGGCTGGAACAGTCCTGTGGTTTTCTGTTATTTTGATACCCTTGTCTTTCTAGCAGCTAATCCAAAAATTAAAATCACTTAAATTTGTTATTATTGTATTAGGTCACAGCATTCTCAGCTGCGGTCAACTTTCTTGGCCACATGTTATAAGGGTTGTAGGAAAGACGCTTCCCGACCTGGTCTCCTTGTTATTCTGAAGTTAAGGCAGAACTCAAGGCCAGTAACTAAATATCATTTTTTTAAATTCATGTGTGGACATTGTTTTGTCTGTAGCCCCCTACCGTAGACTCCTCAGGTCACCTGCCTATTCATTAGACCAGTCTTTCTCAACCTTTTTACACTGGAGGAACCCTTGAAATAAATTTGAAGGTCAGTAGGAAAAGAATGCCTCTTACATTGGTCAGTGGAAAGAATGCCTCCTGGTTGTCAGAATGTCAGCTTAAAAGATCATTGGTGTAATGCTGATGGCTTTGCTGAGACCCAGAACTATGCAGGCACCATCAAATGGTACCTCAATCAGCCACAGCTCAAGGGATGCCTAGCAACATCTGGAGGAACCCCAGGGTTCCATAGAACCCTGGTTGAGAGTGGATGCATTAGAGCAGTGGTCTCCAAACTATGACCCTCCAGGTGTTGAGGAACTGCAAGTGCCATGAGGCCTTGCAAGACTCTGACAGCCACAGGCAAAGTTCCCAGAGGCAGAGGCATGATGGGACTTGTAGCACTTCAACAGCAGGAGGGCCATAGTTTGGAGACCCCTGCATTAGAGTATTAAAAATCATCACAACACTGCTGAGAAACTTCTTGAAGATGAATTCCAGGCATGGATATTTTTACATAGTCACACTCATCCAGTTTAGACCAGTGTAACTGTGCATAAACCATACTTGGTCGAATCCTCTGGAAGCTGGCTTTTACTGTAGTAGACACCATTATATACAGTGATGTCCACCAGCTTCTGGGTTCCATGCTGAGAGGCTGCCCTGCTGTACTGTAAACAAAGTAGCTTGCCTGTTTGGCATGAGTGCCATTTAGAAATTGCCTTGCATTCTCTCAATGAATGCAGATTGTTCTCTGATTGGATGAAGTGGAGAGGCAGGGCAGTGACATCACAATCTCCACTTCATCCAATCAGAGAAAATGCAAAGGGTTCTCAGGAAGGTACCTGTGTCAAGTGAGCAACTTGTTGTGTTCAGTAAGCAACAAGGCAGCTACTTGGCAAGGGACCCAGAAACTATTGGATATCTCTGTAACAGTGGTTCCTACTACAGTGATTTCCAGTTTCCAGCAGGATCGACCAGATCTTGTCAGTGCATAGTTACAGTAGTTCAAGGTGGACCAATGTAACTACCAGGGGCGGACTGACCATTTGGAAACTCAGGCACTGCCCGAGGGCCCGGGGTCAGTAGGGGGCCCCATAGGATGCCCCTGGTACCTTTTTCATAGGCTTTTTTGAGTTTGGGCAAGGACACAGGGGCCCCATGATCCCCTATTGCCAGGGGGCCCCATGGGTTGTCAATCCGCCCCTGGTAACTACAGTATGTAAGATATCCATACCCGGAATGCATCTTTATGCTCCCTCCTAACTACCCCTCCTCCCCCAGCTCCCAGAGCCTGTAGCATGTT